GCTCACGTTAGCAATCAGCATTTGCGTACCAGCAGCACATTCAAGGGCTGCTTTCATAGTCCGCAGGCAGGCGCGCTGGCGCGCAGGCAGGCGCGCTGGCGCGCAGGCAGTGCTAGGGGGAGGAGGGAGGCAGACAGTGTAAGGCAAACAGTCCACGCCCCTTCGAAGGTTGTTTGTTTTCAACCCCTCGAAGGGGCGTGGACTGTTTGCCTTACACTGTCTGCCTCCCTCCTCCCCCTAGCACTGCCTGCGCGCCAGCGCGCCTGCCTGCGGACTATGAAAGCAGCCCTTGAATGTGCTGCTGGTACGCAAATGCTGATTGCTAACGTGAGCAGGTTGAATAAAGGAGGGGACGTTCACTTAATTCTGAATGTACGCGGCAACATGCGCGGCGACTTGTGATTTAAACGACTCTGGCGCGGCGCTTATCATTGGGACACAAATTTGAAGTAGGACAGATTAGTAGCATCAGCTGGCCCTACTTATCCAGTCTACTCAAAACCTGTGCCCCAATGACAGGCGCCAGACCGCTCAAATCGCCGCGAACTTCGCCGCGCGATTTGCCGCGTCCGTCCAGAATTGGGCGAATGTACCCATACCCGGTTGAATACAACCAAACAATTGTAGGAGCTTTTGTTCGGTGGTAAAAGGTGGTAATGTTTGAGTAAAAATGAAGACAAGTCAAAGATAGGCCAGATGTGGAAAATGAAGATAAATAATAAATGGAGATAGTAAACTCAATAATACAATAATGCCGAGTTTCCTAGAAAGCCGTGGGTGAAAATAGAGAATATTGGTAAGGATAAATCAAGTGAAAACTCGCCATGTACGGCTATCTCTAAACCTCGGCATAGAGCAATCGTTGTTTTCTTTGCTTGAACTTGGACGAGGTTGATAAAAATTTTACTCCGGCTAACGTTTCGGCGTAGATCGCCTTCTTCAGAGCCTGGAACGATCGAAGCAATTTATGATTACCCGATCAAAAGTATCAACTACATTACAGAAATTCGAGACCTCAGAGAACATCACGCAACTGTAAGTTGGGCCACTTACCGTTGATCCGACCGATCCCCGCGACCACCCAGAAACCAGCAGCGGTCCAGCAAGCTCTTCGGACTGGATATGATTCAGACTCCCTGGTGGAAGGCTAACCTTATATACGGCCTCAGCTCCCGCGTGATTGTGATACACTCTTCTTTCTGGTTCATTTNCAATCGTTGTTTTCTTTGCTTGAACTTGGACGAGGTTGATAAAAATTTTACTCCGGCTAACGTTTCGGCGTAGATCGCCTTCTTCAGAGCCTGGAACGATCGAAGCAATTTATGATT